TCAATGGCATAACCAACTCACAATCAAGATGAAACATTAAAAGTGCAGTTACAGTAGACAAACAAATCCATATAGCAAACAAGCCCGCCATTAAAACAACTTTCTAGTTACTGCAGATTCAAGCAAACAAAGATCCTAAGCAATTTGGAGCTAAAAATCCAACTAGAGGACACAAATGAGCACTAAATTTTCAGGATCAAAACTCAAAACCAAAAAGTAGGTACATAAACCGTAATTCCAAATTACCCATCAGCTGATCAAATGCGAAAATCATGGTATGTTACTAATCAAACCCTAAAACCTCGAAATCAATAGCGAATCACAATGAAGTAAACCCAAGAGAAGATAAAAGATAACAGCCATGGAAAAGGAAAGACAAACCATAACTTTTACCAGGACAGAGGAGGAGGTTGTGTCAAAAAGAAGGGAAGAGGGATGGCGTGGTGTGGGTTTGACTCCCAGCGGATCGTTGTTCTGTAGAAGAAAAGTAAAGCAACTACAGAGACGGTGTCGCGCAGCAAACCCGATTCGCTCGATCGGTTAGTGGTTTTAGTGGCCAACGACAAGAAGGTGAGAGAGCAGCAACAGAGTCGACGATGAACTAAAGCTGAAGGTTTCGTCGCCATCGGCGTGCGGAGACTGTAGAGGAAATTCATTTTGAAATTGAAATTGATGGGTTTGAAGATGAAATTGAAATATATGTTTTTTTTTAACAAATTCACGGGGATTCGGATTCAAATGGTTATTTACAAGAGAGAAAGTATCTCTACGAGAAAGAAGGAGAATGCATTTACACGTGACTTTTACTTTTGTCATTGAATCAAAGTCTCGAGTGCCAAATACATGGCATTTATATCTTTGAATTATCCAAAGTGAAATATATACATTTCACTTCAATTCAATTACACTTTGTTTATAGGAAAATAAACAATAATATTTAATTTAAAGGATTAAAATTTAAATATATTGTATCAAAATCACATTTCCAAACATATTATTAAAGATTTTAAATTTGAAATTTTTTTAATGTATAATTTGTAAATAACAAAAACATAAATACTTTAACATCATATCATATTATATATTTATAAGAATAGTACTTATTCATTTTACCTCTTAAAAATTAAGAGATATATTATTTCAAAACTACGTCATTTTAATAAATATTTATTAAAAAAATTAAAATATCATATTTTTAA